GCACGCATGCCAGGCGAGCGCGCTACCGCCTGAGCCACATCCCCAGCCCTGTCTATCTATTTTGTAAAGACAATATTTAGCTTACTGAATTGAAATGGCTCTGAACTGTGTATTAACCAGTATGTGATTACAACTAGAGAACTTGGGGAATGATGATAGGTATAATAGAAATTATTTTTCTTTAATTTCCTCCTCGGGATAAAATTTTTAGAGAAATTTGTAGTGAAGGAATTTCTTGCCACTATTTGGAGAGGTAAATAAATAAGTATAAAAAGTATATTGTGTGACAAGAGGTAGTTAAGAACAAGGTTTCTCTGGGATAAGCAGTTAGAGAAAACAGAATGGCATGAACATCTAAATACAACTGCTGCTTCTCAACCAATTTCAGTTAATATCTACTAAAAACAACACAAAACAAAAATCCTTTCCTCTGACTTCAGTTTTCTTTTGAATCACTGTTTTAAAGGTGATATATCTGTATCGTCTGTTGAAATATATTCCAGAGTATATTTCATGTTAAATTGACAATTGTTTGCTACATTTTTTGAATTAGGTTTTAAATGCCTTTTGCACTATCCTCTTTTTCTGTTAAAATTTTATATTCTAAAAGTACAAGACTACTTTTTTACTATCTTTTGCTTAAGGGCATATTTTTTAAGCCCTTAATCTTAATTAATATGTATAAGGAAAAATAGAAGTAAATTTTTCATTGATACATCTGTGCCTTTATTTTTTTATTTTTTTTGGCAAAAGGGGATTTATTGGGGATCCATTCCAGCGCGCTGGGACTCTGTGCCCACTCAAGAAGGGAGCGCAGCTCAGAGACATCTGTGCCTTTAGACTTGCCTGTATATACTTTGAAAGGAAGAAGAAATAATCATTTTTTTTTTGTTTTTTTTTTTTTGAGACTAAGATTTGAATTATTCTAAGGAATCAATGAAGTTCAGTTTGTCTAAGTTTTTATTCAAAATATGCTGCTTGGCTTCAGTGTTGCAGTACTGAGTAGTTAAGTAACATTTTGGCATGCCTGAAAATATGTGATGCATCATCATGTCATTGTATGAGTTATCATCATATCTCATCTTGGGAATAAGTAATATGGACAAGATATGCCCTTTGTAGTTATCGTTAGTGTCTGAATATTCCCTATCAAATATTGGCAAGTACTATACATGTCACTTTTAATGACAATTTTCTTTAGTCAAAGATAAAGTATATGGTGTACAAGATATTTTAGAATTGTCCTGTCATGTATATATCCTAGCTATTCCAAAAACAATTATGGTATAGGAGCTACTATATAATAAAAAGTTGCAGTGGCACATGCTTGTGGCAGGAGGATGACAAGTTTGAGGCTAGCGTTGAAAACTTATCTCAAAAAAAAAAAAAAAAAAAGGAGGCTGGGAATGCGACTCAGTGTTACAGTGCCACACACAAAACTCACATACACATATATAAGTTGCTTAGATAGGAAAGCTGTGATATTGTACTTCATTAATATCAACAGTGTATTTTTTTAAAAAAGTTAATTTGGTACTGGGGATTGAACTCAGGGGTGCTCAAGCACTGAGTCATATCCCTAGCCTTTTTTTATATTTTATTTAGAGACAAGGTCTTGCTGAATTGCTCCAGGCTTTGCTAAGTTGCTAAGGCTGGCTTTGAACTTGGGATCATCCTGCCTCAGCCTCCCAAGCTACTGGGATTACAGATGTGTTACCACACCCAGCTTCAATAGTGTATTTCTAACAACCATTGGTTGCTTATAGAAAAAGTGGTTCAGTTGCTGCTGTTGTTCACTTAATGGAGGATTAAATTTCTCTTAAGGTTATATGTATTTCTTTCTTTCTTTTTTTTTTTAAGAGAGAGAGAGAGAGAATCTTTTTCTTTTTTGTAGATGGACACAACACAATGCCTTTATTTTTATGTGGTGCTGAGGATCGAACCCGGCTCCCACCTGTGCTAGGTGAGCGCTCTACYGCTGAGCCACAATCCCAGCCCCAAGTATTTCTTTTTTAAAAAATATTTTTACTTGTAGATGGTCACAATATTTTTATTTTGTTTATGTGGTTCTGGTGACTGAACCCAGCGCCTCACACGTGCTAGGCAAGTGCTCTACCACTGAGCCGAAACCCCAGCCTGGTTGTAAGTATTTCTTATAAGTTATATAGCATCCTTGGTAAAACAAACAAACAAACAAAACTTCGGTAATTAACTCAGCTCCAAAGAAAGTCTCGAAATTTGTGTGCAGACAGTGAATCCTGAGATGCAGAGGGAAAAATAAAAGTTTTAATACGTGAGAAGCCAGTTAAATTATACCATTACCATTACACCTGCTCCTTGATTTAAGTACACATAAATGTATTAGTGATGAAAATATAAGCAAGGACAATAATCTTAGTTGCTTTTGATATTTAGAATATTATCAATATTCAGTGTTTTCAGTATTCAGAAAGCATTTCTTCAAATAATTAATACACAGTTTGTGGGATTTCTTCAGTTACAGTCCATTGTCATCATTGTTCAGATCTTTTAAGTCCATGAGTTGCAGATCTTAAACTTTAATATGCTTCTTAGAGCTGTAATATAGCTGGTCAATAAGAAATAAAATTTTTAAGATTTAATTTTTTTGATCTTTAAAAGTATTACAGAGTTGAATTTTCATTAATTGTGATTGTAGACCATGATGAACAAATTGCTATGAAATATGTAGCACTGGGCTATTGTCAAGAGTAAATAAACTGGAAATATGAAATGCTCAGAGAACTGTAGGAACCTTTTGAAACTTAAATGTTGTTTTACAGGTACTGATTAATAAATAATGGCAGTCTTTTTGTATGAAAGAAGTAGCAGAGAAAATAAAACCAGTTGAAGACTCAAGTGAAATTCCTGTTAAAAAAAATCTGAGATGTTTATTGTTTATTCTTACATAATTATTTGAGAAGCCACTAATGTATTATTATTCCCTCCCTTGGTAGGCCGTAAGCTAATTGGGGGTAAGGACTCTACTTGATATGTCTTCTATTGCCTCTTCAGTACTTAACRAAGTGACTTACACTTAGAAGGCACTTAAGGATTTATTGATTTAATGGTTTGTGTTTCATTGAGGCTTATTTCACTTTCTTTCTAGCCACATAGTTGCATCTAGTTTTACTAAGCAGGGATATATTATTACCTCTAGCTATTGCTACTTCTAATATTTTAGCACATTTCTCTTTGGCTGTTTTATTAGACTTGTTTAAATTATTCAGACCATGGTATGTATACAGAATTGTGCCCTGCTTGTTTTTTGCTTAATGTTTTGTTTTCTCTCATTAGGAAYCTTCCATAAACATTTGAAAAAACTATGATAGTCTATCATATGAATGTGATGTTTTGAAAAATCATGTCCAAAATTTCAGCCATTACTTTTCTGTTTTCTGCTATTGTAAATAATCCTGAGTTGAATATCTTTAAAATATTTTTTAAGTTTATTTTGATTTTTTTAATGTTGGTATGGATTTCTAAAATGTGAATTACTGAGGTATCAAAAATATAAGCATTTTTAGATCTTTTAATTTATATTGTCAAATTCCTTTGTAGAGCTATCATATCATTTTACATATTTACCAGCATCATATGAGAGTCTTTTTTACAACCCCCTACCCAATATTTAACGCAATTTTAAAATGTTTGCTGATTTGGTAGGAAAAATACTATGTTATTTTTATTATTAGCTTGCTTGTTTGTTATTGTTAGGAAAGTCAGTGTTTTTCACAAATGTTTATTAGGCTCTTTTTCTCTTTCATAAATTTTTTTTAATGATTTATTCTAGTGTTTTAGTACTTCTTTCTTTCTGTCTTCTTGACAATACTGGGGATTGAACCCAGGGCCCCCTTTAATCTAGAGAAGTACTCTGTCACTGAGCTACATCTCTAGCTCTCTTAGTACTTGGTTTTTTGKTTTTTTTTATATATATATTTTTGAGTTTTAGGGCTGGAGTTGTGGCCACAGTATCTTATTTATTTATTATTATGTGGTGCCAAGGATCGAACCCAGTGCCTCACACATGGGAGGCAAGTGCTCTACCACTGAGCCCCAGCCCTGCTTTCATTGTTAAGTAAGCAATTTTTTTAATTTTTAAGAAGTTTAGAGTTAGCCTAGTCTGTCAGCCTTAACAAAAATCATATAGCACAATATATATAATTGTAATGTAACGTAGTTTTCTATGCTGCTTTACAGATCGAATGTAGACGTCGACACAGACACACCAAAAAAGAGACTGAAAACCAGTTCCTCATCCCAAGGACCTGCTAAAGTCCAAGAAACATCATATTCAAATGATAATCAGATTATATTACAGATTCCTTCTTCAAAAGGAATTAAAGATATTAAAGTTAAAAATATTAAATCGACAAATGTTAGGAGTAAGCTTGGCCATGAAATGAAAAATCTTAACAGTCATAAAATTGCCAAAGATGAAAAACCTAAAGTTGAAGTACAGGCAAAGGAAAAGAAGTGGCCTCATTTACTGGCTCAGAGGGAGAAGATGAAAGAACTGAACAAAAAAATTAGAGAGAATTCTGAAAAACCTGTCTTGGAGAAATGCCAGAAAAATCCATTTTCTCAGGATTGTAATTCCAACAGGATAATTAAGGAACCTTTTGAATCTAGAAGGAAAATCAGCTTCAAAATCCCAAGAAAATCTTGTAATACTCTCCAGAGGGTGGTAGAAGAAAATGTCTTTAATTTTGAATCTAATAAGTCAAAGACTAAACAAGAGGGAAAAGGTGGCCTGGGAACCTCACGGGTTTCATTAAATTTGGCCAGGCACAAAACTGAACGCTTATTTTCAGATTCTTCTTGTAAGCATGAGTGGAAAGGAAAGCATCATCATCAGCGTCAAGAAAGTAAAGATTCAGTTTCCAAGGAACTGTTTACCCAGGTAATGCAGTACAAAATGAGGAATTTAGATTTAGAAAAAAAAAAAAATACACACACACACACACAAATATATATATACATATAGAGAGAGGGGGTGGGGAGAGAGTGACAGTGTGTCAGGATTTATTTATTTTTATTATTGATGATAATTAGAGGCCTGATTTAAATTTAGTCTGAAGATATGTGTTGGTTTCTTATTTCAGTCTCTTAATTACAGCTTCCTTAGGAAGGTAACCTGGCATGTATAGGGATCTATAATAAACGGGAATGTGTAAACGTGTGAAGAACAGTTACCAATAGTTCTTTGAATAAAGCATTGATAACAGTCTTTTAGGCTCTTTTTTTTTTTCCTTCTCAGGTATTAATATTCTGAAGAGCTGATTCCTTTAACAAATTGTGTTTTCAGTGCCACTCTATGCCAGGCACTGCAGTAAAAATAGCCTGTGAAATGTACATAATCTCTGTTTTCAGAGGCTTATTCATGGAAGGACACAATTTCTTTAAATGTGATAAGTAAAGTACTTATCACTTAATGTTGTAATACACAGCCTTGCAGGGGGATGATATTTAAGCTGAGAACCAAAGAATGTTGGAGTTATTTAGGTGCAGATGAAGAGGGATCCAATGGAGAAGCAGGAATGTTGGAGGCCAAGGGAACTCCCATAAGCAGAAATTGAGGCTAAAAACTAGGCACATTATTTTGCTTCTAGATTGTATAATAGAGTGGCATTTGTGGACTATGTTGAGAAGCACTCTATAGCTTTGTTTCTGTGACAGGTAAARTCCCTTAACGTTAAGGGAACTTTTAGAACTTTGGAACATCAGAACTTTAGAACTTAATAAATTCTGATATTTAGTAACTGCTTCTAAGTAGGGTGGTCAAACCTGCCTGCTTTTAGATGTTAGGTAGTAAGATTCTTATGAAAAATGTAGGGATTATGCCTGTGCAGTAGCACATGTTTGTAATCCCAGCAGTTTGGGAGGCTGAGGCAGGAGGATCCTGAGTTTAAAGCCAGCCTCAGCAAAAAAGCAAGGTGCTAAGCAACTCAGTGAGACCCTGTCTCTAAATAAACACAAAATAGGGCTGGGCATGTGACTCAGTGGTTGAGAGCCCTTAAATTCAATCCCCAGTACCTCCACCCCAAAAATGTAGGGATTATAACTAAGTAGGCATAAGAGCTTGAGAGTGTTAAAAAGAACTTRAAGGGGCCCAGAAGGGAAAGAATTGAGTTTATTCTTTTTACTGCTTTTGTAAAGGAAAAGAACCTCCAGTTTATCTTCTCGTGTTATAACCAGTTCTGTAGAGTAGAAGAAGTGAAGGGAACTTGAAATTGTCAGTATACTCAGTAATCATCATTGATCAACATCAGTGATCAACATGCTTGTTCCCCATGTGCTATACATCTAAGGAATAGTATGAATAATCTCCGTAGTGCATTTTATAGTTTCGTTTTTTTTCTTTTCTTTTTTTTTTTTTTGGTACCAGGGATTGAACCCAGGAGTTCTTAACCACTGAGCCATGTCCCCAGACCTTTTTATTTTTATTTTGAGACAGGGTCTTGCTAAGTTGCTCAGGGCCTTGCCAAGTTGCAGAGCCTGGCTTTGAACTTGGGATTCTCCTGCTTCAACCCGCTGAGCCATTGGGATTTCAAGCATGAGCCAGCATGCCTGGTTTATAGTTTATTTTGATCTTTATGTAAAATTATTACACAAACCAAAAGAGGCATATAGCATGAATATTAACTTTTAAGGGAAGTAATTTTTGCAATTCTACTTTCCATTTATCAGAATTAAAACTATTAATTGTTGCTGTAATAACATTATTTGACTTAAGAGTTGTTTAGATACCGAAGCAAATAAATATTGTCCTTATCTTGAGCATATCATTATCTTTAGCATATCATTGACAGGAGATAATACTGTGTTTGTTTTGTTTTACTAAGTAATTCCTTATAGCTACTTATTTTCCTGAAATGAGTGTACTTTATAAGGAACCAGTTGTATTTTTCTGGATGTATTAATCCTGTTAATGATCTTATTTTGCTTTCGTAAATAGAAAATAACTTATTTTGTTTCTTAGGTTTTATAGTCCTTTGATATAAACTATCAGTTTACTAACCCCCTTCCACCATTGCAAATTAATATTCTAGAGATTTATGTTTTTTTTATGCTGCATTCCATTTAATCATTATAAGTCTGTGAGGTAGGAATTCATTAGTTTATCAAACATTTATTAAAGGAACTTATTATGTGTCAGATAATAAGTTCTTTTTGTGGTAGTGATTTGAGAAGTGAGTAAGAGAATCTTTGCCMTCAGAATATTCTCAGGGGGGCAGATTGGTAAACAAATATAATTGCACTGCAATGAAGAAAATATCAGTCTTAAGAATTGGATGTGTTGTTACAATATAAATCTCTAGGTGGGTTAAGGAAGAGCTCACTAAAGTAGAGATTCCTAAGTTAYTTCTTCAAGGATATGTAGAGGGAGGAATAGAAGTTCTGACCAGCCATGTAGAGGGCCATTGTGTATAATGGCACAGAATTGGCAAGGTATATGGATGCTTAGGTTGTTTAGTATGACTAGAGTCAAGGTGTGTAGAGGATATATAGAAGAAAAAGATAGATGGGAAGCCAGGGCCCAGACAGTGAATGCTTTTGTGTCTCATTGGAAACACTGGTATTTTATTTTGTGTCCTGTGGATGGAAGAGAGCCACTGAAAGGTAATCAGGGGCAATCAGGGATAGTTAGGGTTTGAATATGAGGTGTCCGCCAAAAGCTTCTGCGTTAGTACAGGAATATTCAGAAGTGAAATGATTACATTATGAGAGCTGTAACATAATCAGTCTGTCCTAGTTTAAATGGACTAGGTGGGTGGTAAACTTTTGGTAGGTGGGGTGTGGCTGGAGGAGGTAGGTTATTGGGCGTGTGCTGGGGAAGGGTTCATCTCTTCGGCCCCTGCCCCTTTCCCTTTCTCTCTGCTTCCTGGCTGTCATGAGGTGAGCAGTGCTCCTCTGCCATACCCTTCTRTCTTGATGTTCTACTTCACCCTGAGCACAGAGCAATGGAGTTGAGTCGCCATGGACGTTAACCTCTGAAACTGTGAGCCAAAATAAACTTTTTCTTCTCTAAGTTGTTCTTGCTGGGTAATTTGGTCACAGTGAAGAAAAACTGACTTAACACACACATTTTCTATTTAGAAGCATTTTGGTAGATAAAACCATTATTATCTTCATTAAATCCATTCCCTTTTGTCATCCCTAGGAAAGGCTTTATCTCGATCCCTGTATTTAATAAAGCATGGTAGGGAGAGGCAATCATTTGAATGATCACCAAGACTTTGATTTGTAATGGAAAGGAAATTATCAGGAATAGTTGACATCAACTTTTCTGGATTGATAGARAATTCACTGAAGTCACTACAAGTGTCCTGTGGTCAAAGGGAAGTCAGGGTAGTAGCGGCTTAAAGAAGAAAACAGGAAGACTTAGAATGTCAAGAGTTACAGGATATTTTGACAGCAGTCTAGCTTGCTTGGCACTACTTAATTTAAGAAAATTAGAAAGACCTCTAGTAAGATTTAATGTGAAATGGTGAAGATATTTAAAATTCTATGATTATRGAATAGTAAAGCAATAATGAGCCTGTGTGTGTGATGTGAATGGGGTCATGTCATGTGAAGTTTGATGTTGGATGGATAGGGTGGAAGCTGAATTCCTAGTAAAGCATTATTGCATATGACATATTTAGTTAAAGAGGGGCTATAATTTTTTTAAAAATATATATATATWTTTAGTTATAGGTAGACACAATATCTTTATTTTTATATGGTACTGAGGATCGAACCCAGTGACTCACGCATGGTAGGTGTGCGCTCTACCTCTGAGCCACAACCCCAGCCCAAGAGGGACTATAATTTATATGTTAATAGTTCCTGTGAAATAGATGTGAGTTTGGAGTTATCTTAGAGAATTCTTAAATGATGATTTGGTTCAGCAGTGCTTTTGTTTCCTGTCTCCTGCATGTAGGGTCAGGTAGGATTTATCCACTCAGCCAAAGTGCTGGTGCAAAGTTGGAATTTTTGAAGATTTTCAATCTGTGTGTGTGTGGGAAATATATATATATGTTTAAAAATATATATCTATTTAAAATATATTTATTTATTATGTATTATTATTTATATATRTTTATATGTTTATTTATATTTATATTATGTTTATAGTAATAATTATTTTTATACATTTATTTATATATATTTATTATATATATATAACTTCTCAAGCTCTAACCACACACAATAGAACCATATAGAATATATAATACAAGGAATTCATTGTCAGCCTTTTCTCCTTAGCCATATTAGTCTTCAGGTTTTCTTTGTTTTGTCATTTTATTTAAAATGGCTAAGTGACTTGTAGATGAAAATTTTCTGCCACTAAAGGCCATCTTGATTATCTTTACCATGATTCCTTTTATTTCTTAGGGTGGAATGTGGGTTTATAGAATGAGTGCTTTTAAGAATGCATGTATGAATGAATAAACCCTAATGAATTTCTCCCACATTTCATAACTGGGTGGAATGAGGTTTTTCTATTTTAGGGGTGGTGTCTCCTGGGGGCAATTTTATTCCACTGTGAACATTTAGTAATGTCTGGAAACATTTTTGATTGTGAATATTCAGAGGTGGGTAGGTAGTGTTACTGACATCTGGTAGGTAGGTCCAGAGATGATGCTAAACATCCTATAGTACACAGGACAGACACGTAATAGAGACTTTTCTGACCTCAAATGTTAATAGTGCCAAGGTTGAAAAACACTACTTTAGGTATAGGGTTCTTTTCTTTTTTTTTTTTAATTTTTTTGTTTTAGTTGTAGATGTACACATACCTTTCTTTTATTTATTTTTATGTTGTGTTAAGTATTAAACCCAGTGCCTCACACTTGTTAGGCAAGCGCTCTACCACTGAGCCACAACCCCAGCCCTATGTTTCTTTCTTTCTTTTTTTTTTTAGTTGTAGATGGACACAGTATTTTTATGTAGTTTTGAGGATTGAACCCAGTACCTCACACACGTGAGTCAAGTGCTCTACCACTGAGCCAGGATCCCAGCCCCTATGTTTCTTTTTTAACTAATAAAATTACTTTTCATTTCAGAGTTTTGAAACACCGTGTTCTTCAATGGGACCTGAAAGTATTCAAGATACAGATCAAGAGGTTACTAATATACTTATTTACTTTGAATCTTTTTAATGAAAATCAGTCAGCCATTTCCTGTTGTTAGTAAAATATCTATAAAATAGAATTATTAATAAAACAGTAACAATAATATCTCCACTTTAATCAATATGTTGGCTTTTATGAAGTCATCAAAAAACATTTTTGAAAAGTATTTCCAGTTACTTGATCACCTTTTTGCCTTTGTTTCTAATAGGCTAATCTATTTTGAAAAACAGTATAGAGCCTATTGGTCACAAAATCTTGAGTTTTGGAATTAATGTTATTATGCTTTTTCATGTTTATTGCCAAAATTCAATATGAAATTAATCTGGTTTTGCTTTTTTTTTTTTTTACTCAGCAATCAGATGAAATAGTTATTTATTGAAAATAAATAAGAGTGCATGAATGTTTTCTCTTTTTACTTATTGCTTCATTTCCCAGCTATAATCTCCTGATTGACCCTCATAGAATATTGAGGATAATTGTGTATTTTCTGGTCCTGAGTTAAAATTAAGTTCTCAAAACACTTTGTATTTTTCTATTTAGGCTATATTGATAGCTTTTTGTTTGTACAATCAGTTGCATTTTTCCTCCTTTTGAGTAATGCCCCTTGATAGAAGATTTCTTATCTCTGCTCTGCAGCTAAGTTGAATTTTCATTTCTTTACACAAGAGTGCAACAGAGAAGCATTTCCTGAAGTGAGGAAGATCTTAAGATCTAGATTTCAATTTTGGATTGTTCATAAACAATACTAGAAATCTTTAGAACTTCACTCATCATCTAGATAATAAGAAACTGTCTCTTGGATACTTTGAAGTGAGAATAAAATGTCTTTTCTCGTCCATTTACTAGGCTTTATGCAAGGAGTTTCATGTAGCATATTTTATTTAATCTTCACAAAAAATCCTAAAAGGAATCAAATATTTAATATTTCTATTTTGTAGATGAGTAAACTGAGACACAAAATAGTGAAATAATTCGCTTGCCTAAAGCTATAGAGGTAATAAGAGAAGAACTATTATGTATATATTTATGAATCTGTTTTTTATCAACTTCCTGCATATTTGTATAAATTTTTTTCTTTCTACAAACTCTCAAGTGATTTAAATAAGAATTAATTGTTTTCTTATTAATCTGCAGAGTAATATTTCACTGAGGTCTTTTACAATTTAGATGCAGATAGTCGAAGAGCTTCATGCTGCACGCGTGGGGAAAAGTGTGGATTTACCTGTGGTACCACCTTCTGGAGAGTTAATGAGTATGGAAATTGACTTGGTGGAAGATGATGTACATTCCTCTGCTGGTATACCTATAAGATAATGATTTCCTGTGTTTTCCTAAGAATTAATGTGCTAACTTTTCAGTTTTACAATATTTAGATGAAAAAATGTTAGAACTCGCTCATTCGAATGAAATCTGGTCTAATATTTTTCTTATCATTTGTTTTATGTCTCTTACATTATTAGGCAATTGGACTTATTTTTTCTTCCTTTTTTGCCAAGAGGCAATAATAAGACTTATGCATTGTTTTCTGGGAGAAGATAATGATAAAGATAGTCCAAAATCTGTTAGTATACTATTTTGAGTTCTCTTTATAAAAATAATAATGCTATCTTACATTCACATTACATTTTTCACTTCAGTAGGTGTTTTTCTGTGCAGAAACTTATTTGATCTCACAAGGCCCTGTGAAATAACAATGCTAATGTTACTGTATTTTCTTTATTTTATACATATTTTGCGTTGCAATTAAGTTTTACTCAGGATATTTAAAATCAGCTTATACTTTCTAAGTGCACAGCCGGACAGGGTGTATAAACGTTATTCCTGCTGGGGCAAATCATTTTATGATTGAAAATAATTTTATAAATAATTTATGATAATCTATTGGGAGATAATTAAGCATTGATTACTACTTTTTCCTTTAAGAATTGGAGTAAAAGAAATTTTATTCTCATTGTCTAAAGGACTTTCTTCTTTATGGAACGCTATTCAAAAACACTCTCCTATGCCATTCTCCATGTCTTAGCCCCAAGACTTCCTGTGATGTTTGCTTTGCACAGATCTTACCTTCTCTGACCATTTGGATCTAGCCAAGTTCCTCCTCCTCCTGCCCCTAACCCTCCTGTAGATTGTCCTTCTACAAACAAGGATTATGTTTCCTGCTCAGGGGAACCTTGATTGTTTGGGTAGAAGTTTACATTACATGGCAACCAAGTGATGAACCAGCTTAAGAGTTTAGTCAACTGTGTGGGTCTCTTGCACAATTAAATTTATAAGACACAGAGGGGTTTCAAAGTGAGTTATCTACATTTATTGATACCAAAAGTTTAGACATTATTATTATCAAGTGTCATGAAATCCTAACTTGGCTCCTTTTCTCTAGCAAATACTGATTCAGACAAAAAGCTTCTAATTGTTATTGACACGAATATTCTGATGAATCATCTCAAATTTGTTAGAATTTTGAAGACAACAGAAATACCAGGTATTTCAAAAACATATTTATAGATTTTGATTTTCCTTCTTGAATTAGTATTTACTATTAATAGTGATGTGGGCTTTATTCTTACAAACACATCTCCCTTTGGATATGATACTAATTTTTTCTTTTTTGTGATGCTGGGGATTGAACCCAGGGCCTTGTGCATGTGAGGCAAGAACTCTTACCAACTGAGCTATACTTCCAGCCCTGGATATGATACTAATTCTAAGATGATCTAATTGTTTATTATAAAATCATTTATATTAGGAACTTAGATTATAGGAAGCAGATCTGCTAAACTCACTCTTTTTTTCTCTAGTTGCATTTAAAAAATACTCTGTGGATCCTTATATCCTCTTTTAAATTTTCACGTTCTATGTATTGTCTCTCTGTTGATTGTGAATTTCTAAGGGGTACTTTAAAACTTTCACTTCTATAGCAGTTTGATTTAGTAGGTCAATAAGTGTTTGGATTCTAAGAAATCTGTTTATATTTTAGGCTTTGATGGACTTGTGTTAATAATTCCCTGGGTTGTTGTGCAAGAGCTAGATCGTATGAAGGCAGGGAAACTACTAAAACATGCGCAGCACAAAGCTATACCTGCAGTTCATTTCATCAATGACAGCCTCAGAAATCAGGATGGAACGCTGTGGGGTCAGTCAATACAACTTGCATCTCAAAAACTTTGTAAGTATTGTTGTTTTAGGGTGCTTACTGATAAACATTTGTTAGAGTGCCTACTCATTATTGGAAGGAAATGGTGCAAAATGTTGTTTTACTCAGCAGTATGTGAAATGGAAAGGACCGTATGGTGGTAGTGGCTTTTTTTTGGTGGTACTGGGAATTGAACCCAGGGGTTTCTTCCATTAACCTGGACTCTTAACTCCATTAATTTTTTATTTGGAGGACAGGGTCTCTCTAAGTTGTTAAAGCTTACCTCAAACTTGTGATTCTCCTACTTCCATCTTATGAGGAGGAGGGATTATAGTTACATATCACCATACTTGACTATTTTACTTACTTTTGAAAAGTACCCAAACAGGTTTTCAGAAGTGTTTATTGAATGTCTGAATATTTCATGGATATTCTTGAAATTTTAGCTGTATTTTCCAGAACCATATATCTTAGAAAAAGTGATAGTACAAATAATCTTGGTACCTTTAGATCAAGATATACTATTCCCTTTAAATCTCTTTTTTGTTTGCTAAATTGAATTGTTTGAAGGTAACTAATGATTTAAATTGCCCATTTTGCATTATCCATGTTTCTTTGAACTGAAGAAAGGAAAATGGGCTGCTATGATTTGTCTCTCTCTGGCTTTCTGATTAAGGCCTGAGTTTCATTTTCCTCGGGCCCATGCCCTGATATAGTTGAGTTCTTTGTAGATTTTACTACCAGGTTGTGAACTCCTAAAGAGTTTATCTTTCAATATCTAGATGCTTAGCATAGGGATCTGGCACAGATTTGGTTCTATGTAAAAATTTATTGCAGAATGAGTGAGTTTTCCAATTTGAATGATCAGAGGTTTAAGTAACATAGGCTAACAATTGAGAGGAAAAAAGGTTGAAAACTGAGAACCTGGTTGAGGCTTATTGGTTAGTATATACTGAGTTTTAGTGTTTGGAGACTTGCCAAGAGCTTTAATGAATGTCTGGGTCCATGCTCCAAATAGTTGTTTTTTTCTTTTTTCTTTTTGTGGTGCTGGGCCTTATGCATGCAAGGCAAGCACTCTACCAATTGAGCTATTTCCCTGGCCCCACAACATTTTTTTTTATACCTTTGTTTTATTTATTCATTTTTATGTGGTGCCAAGGATTGAACCCAGTCCCTCACACATGCTAGGCAAGTGCTCTACTACTGAGTCACAACCACAGACCCTCCAAAGAGTCTTATACAAAAGTAGATCTGAAGTATGTATGGTCCTGCAGTCTGTATTATTAACTAGCTCCTGGGTAATTCTGAGGCAGGTATTATGAGGGCCTTTAAGAAGCTTTATCTTAGGTCATATTCCTACTGTTGCATTATTTTCACAGAAACTGAATTTTTGCTATGTCTTTTAAGACCAGAAGCCTGTGATGTAAGCTGATTAACATTGTTAGAAGTCACTTTTTATGTTCTATCTAGGGTTCCTGTTTTCATTCTCTGTGTATCTCTAAATGTATTGCTTTAGAGCTTAAGGAAAGTAGATACCAGAAACAGATTCTGTTGCTGATAGAATAGCTGTGCAGAGATATTAAACAGATAATTTTTATTTAATTTTTTTAAAACAGATAATTTTAAACATGATGTAATTATATAGTTAAAATCTGTGTCTGAATTGAGACTAGAATTTATAGCATTCGATTTCTAATCTTTTTTGTTTAGTTACTGATCACATTTCTTTGTATTTATTCATTAGGTACATCCTAGTCCATTTTAGTTGTAAACCAATCATTTTATTAAGTAAATAACTATATGTCATGTGAATCTTTTTTTTTTGTTTTTAAAGAGAGAGAGAGAGAATTTTTTAATATTTATTTATTATTTTTTAGTTTTTGGCGGACACAACATCTTTCTTGTATGTGGTACTGAGGATTGAACCCGGGCCGCACACATGCGAGGCGAGCACGATACCGCTTGAGTCATATCCCCAGCCTGTCATGTGAATCTTTTTTTTTTTTCCTTTTATTTTTTTTTATTGGTTGTTCAAAACAATACATAGTTCTTGATATATCATATTTCACACTTTGATTCAAGTGTGTCATGTGAATCTTGATCCAGATTTGTCAAGACATTTTTTTCTTGTCTTTTTATTTAAAAAGTCTTTTGTCTTTTATATATGATTTTTTTTTTTTTTTGTACTGGGGATTGAACCCAGGGGCACTCAACCACTGAGCCACATTCCCAGCCCTATTTTGTATTTTATTTAGAGACCAGGTCTCACTGAGTTGCTTAGTAGCCTCATTTTTGTTGAGGCTGGCTTTGAACTTGTGATCCTTCTGCCTCAGCCTCCTATGCCACTGGGATTACAGGTATATACCACCTTGCCTGACTCTTATATGTTTTTTAAAAAATATTTTTATTTGTAGATGGACACAGCACCTCTATTTTATTCATTTATTTTTATGTGATATTGAGGTGCTAGGCAAGAGCTCTACCACTGAGCTACAAACCCAGCCATCAATTGTCTTTCATATACATTTAAAAAAATAAATTTAATTTTTTAGAGCACTTTTAGGTTCACAGCAAAATTAAGCAGAAGGTACAGATATTTGCCATATGCCCCCTACTCCCACATATGCACAGTCTCCTTTATTCTGTATCCCCCACCAGAACAGTACATTTATTGCAACTGTGAGTCTATATTGACACAGCATTATCACCCAGATTCTGGAGTTCGCATTAGGTTCATTCTTGGTGGTGTATGGGTTTTGAGAAATGTATAATTACATGTATCCACTATTACAGCAGCATGCAGAGTGTTTTCATTGTTGTAAAACTTTTAGATTTTTTTGATTTGTAAATACAGCCTAATTATTCATGCGATGGCCAGATTTCTAATGTGCTTATTGACAACTGCCTTTGTTAAATTTGCAGATGGACTGAGTGATGAGAACAATGATGATAGGGTATTAAAATGCTGTCTTCAGTACCAGGATTTATTCCCCTGTTCTCTTGTCATTCTGTGCACGTGAGTTTCATAATTTTACCATTTAAAAAAAAAAAAGCTTATRCTAAAGAATTTTTAAAATCATATTATATCTATCAAATCAAGAATAAAGAAAACAACCATAATTTTCTGAATCTACCACTAAGCATACTCAGTTATATCTGAAAATGTGTTAGCTCTATAGTAATGAAGTTCTTAATTGGATGAAGTTTGATTTCATTTTAATTTATGTACTATTCAGAAAATGTTTGGAAAAACAAGGAAAAAGTCAATATTAAAATCTGCCAGAACTTTTTAGTTGTGAGAGACGAGGAGGTTAGTTTCTTACATATTTATGGGAAAGGAGGTAGTTTATATTGCAATTTGGTTCTGGGTGCCTGGTATGGAGTTAAGACTGGATGGGTTGGAGTCCTGGGTCTGTCACTGGATGGCTTTGTGACCTTGAACAATTTACCCAATATAGTTTCTTCATGTATAAGAAAAAGGGAGAATAATAGTTGTCTCATAATGTTATTTTAAGTATCTAACATATAGTATATAGTATATGTCAAGGACTTAGTATAGTGCCTAGTACATAGATCTTAGTTTTTCACTTCTTTTCTCCTCCTCTTTATCATTGATTTTTAAAAATAACTTAGTTCTGTTATAAAACAGTATAATGCTAAGCAAAATTGTTACTCCTCATAACAATTGAGAAAAGGATCTGAAAGTATAGAGGAGCAGTTTTTGCAATTTTAGTCTGAATATTATTCACACAATTTTATTCCATTGAAATTTATGATTATGTTCAAATTCTGTGTATGAAATTTAGTGATGATAGAGGTGAATCATCCTAAGAGTTTTCTTATAAAGTGGGTTGGTCAATATTATTGTTTAGCTATTTTTGTAGACAATGTTATTCTTTTTGTTACTGAAGTAAATATTGGACATTTCTATCTCAGTTTAAAATTGTGTTTTGATTGAGGACATATTACCTTCGAGCTTATTAAAGGCTGAAATAAAATTTGTAATATGTAAATCAATTTGAATATGAGATAAATTGAATTTGAGAAATAATTGTGTATTTAATAATGTTTAGTTCAGTTGAGAATGAAATTAAATTGGTGAAACATTGTAAGTCTTGCATTATTTATGTCATCACTGTTTTGGGATTAACAGAAATGACAATTTCAGTGAAATTTAAATTGTAGCTGTGTCCTTCTTTTAATTCTTGCATTGTCTTGTTCTAGGTGGTAGCCTGTTTTTTCCTCTTTCCTATTCCCTTCCTTTCACTTTTCTTTTTCATCTATTTTCTTCCTTCCTTCTTTTTTTGGGGTTGGTTATTTCTTTTTTTTTTTTATAAATAGTAATCATTATGTGTACTGTTTAAGTCTTACCTGTTGTGAAGACATATTTCTATTAAATAGATGATGATAGTGATGTTTATAGTTAATATCAATTGATAATGATAGTAGTAGGAAAAACTCAACATGATTATATAATACTATACATCATCAAATGCTTTACTTAAATTTACATCCCTAAGTTTGGGCCTATAACCCCTAATTAATGTTTCCAGTCCATATTTTTCTTTCTTTCTTTCTCTCTCTTTCTCTCTCTCTCTTTTTTTCTGTGATACTTGGCAGTCAAATCCAGGGATGTTCTACCACCAAGCAACAACTCCAACATTTTCTATTTTTAAATTTTGAGATAGGGTCTTGCTAAGTTACTAAGGCTGGCCTCCAACTTGACAGACTTTCTTCCCAAGCCTCCTGGGTTTATAGGTATGCACCACAGTAACTGGTTCTAGTCTGTTTTTCTTCTAAACCCCAGACTTATATACTCATCTACTTACTTGTTATCTTTACTTATATTCTCATAAACATCTGAAACCTAGCATCACCAAAAATGAGCTCTTGGTTTTTACTTCTAAATTATACTTCCTTTAAATGGAAAGTGCCATCTCTTACCCATTTGCTGAATCCAGCAATTGAATTATTTTTAATAACTGCCTTTACTTCATAATCTGCATCCAGTTAGTCCTGTGCAGTCTTCTTTATCTCCCCCACCACTACCCTTTGTTGAGCCATGTTATATTTATTTTGTTTATTTTTTTCTTTTCTATTCTGAGATTTATTGTGCTATTCTCATACTTGTTCTCCTTCATTTATTCTTCAAAAAGTTACAATGGTTTCTTATTTTTTTTTTTTTGGCAACAAGTTGTTTATTGATTTTATAAGGGAACAGTTGTACACATCAGTAAATGACTCAAGAAGAGTAAAAATAAAATACACTTTAGTAATTAAGTTACAAAGTCAAATAAATGACCATAAATTTCATCTTGAGTTCTTTGACAAAACCAGGAATTATGACTCAAATAACAATATTTATCTACTAATACAAGGAATGAAAATCCTTATTATCACTGGGATAAGGAACTATTTCAAAGATAAGGAACTACCGTGAAGTTTTTCCATTTAATTTGAATATTGCTCTAAAAGCTATGATTCAAACAAAGCAYACCAAGAACAGCTCAGTTCCAAAGAGAGAAAAGAAGGTAGAATGAATTGGCATGGAGCTAACTGAATTATCTACATAGTTACTTAGATCAGTTCTGAAACTGTCCCATAAATACCTCAGAAGATTTTTATTTGGCCTGCTAGAGGAAAGCTATGGCATGAAACCCTATATAAATCACTGCCTCAAACTTTATAGCAGTGAGGGGCTAGGGTTGTGGCTCAGTGGTAAAGCACTCGCCTAGCACGTGTGAGGCCCTGAGTTCGATCCTCTGGTTTCTTATTTTTAATTTTTTAAAATTTTTCATTATGGAGAATGTTAACATTTACAGTGAAGAAGAGTTAATAAACTCCTCATTACCCAGATACAACAATTATTTAGATTCTGCCATTGTTACTATATTTCTGTACACTTCACATCCTCCAAAATGATTATTTTTATATAGGTTTTTTTTTGTATTTTGAGTAAATATGTACTTACATTGAAATGCAGTTATTGATTATTGAATGTTGGTAAATAGATGCAATGGTATAGGCCACATCTCTCTTAATATATAGGATACTTCCATTACTCCCAAAGTACTCACATGTCCCTTTGTGTTTTCTCATTTCTTAAGGTAGAWGTTAGATCACCTATCTGAGATAGCTATAAATTTCCCAGTAAAAACTGTTTTAGTTCACAAATTTTATGTTATATTTTTATTTTCGTTCAATTCAATCTACTTTATAATTTCCCTTTTGACTTTCTCTTTGACTCACAGGTTATGATGTTTGTGGCTTAAGTCTAAATATTTACAAAATTTCCTGATATCTTTTTGGTATTGAATTAGAGTTTAATTCCATTATGGCTTGAGAGAATAATTTATATAATTTCTATTCTTCTAAATTTTCTGAAGTGTTTTTTTTTTTTTTTAATGGCCAAGATTTTGGACTGTCTTGGTGTTTTATGTGCCATTGATTCTGCTCTTGTGGATAGAGTGTTGTATAAATTTCAATAGGTCTTCTGTAACCTTGCAGCTTATGTATCTACTTCTGTGATCACTGAGAGAGGAGTATTGAAATCTCCAACCTTTGATTGTAGATTTGTCTATTTCATCTTCCAGTCTCATTTGTTTTGCTTCACTTAACTATGCAAGTAATGAAGCCTGCTTGATGAATTGGGGAATGCACTCAGGTGAAAAAATGGAAGCTTGTAGTGAGAGGCATACATGTTTTGTTTTGGATTGTCTTCTTAAGAGATCTGACCCTTTTATCATTATATGATGCCCTTATTTGTTCTTAATAATACTCCTGATTATGAAGTCTCCTTTGTTAAGTATTTAGCTATTTTAGCTTTCTTTTGATTAGTGTTTATATGGGATATCTTTGCATTCTTTTTATTTTCTATCTATGTCTTTATATTTGAAGTAAATTTCTTGTAGATAACATATGCAGCTGTCCCTTGGTATCTGCAGGGGATTGGTTCCAGGACTCGTACAGATTCCAAAATCTGTGTCCCTCCCTCAGTGCAGATGCAAACATTGCTTATGTAAAATGGCACATTTGCATATTACCTGTGTACCTCCTCCATGGAGATGTTAATATYCCTTATATAAAATGATGTATTTGCATATAATCTATGCACATCTTCCTGTATACTTTTAATCATCTCTTAAGTTACTTATGATATCTACTACAATACAAGTGTCATGTAATTAGTAATACTGTTTAGGGTGCAATGCTATATAAATAGTTACACTGTTTAAGGAACAGTGATAAGAAAAAATTGCAAACATTCAGTATAGATGCATTTTTTTCCTTAATATTTTTAACCCTTGGTTGGTTGAATTCATGAATGCTGATTGTAGTTAGTTTGTTCTTTTTTGTTCAATCTAACAATTATTTTTCTCCCAGAACTGGGGATTGGAGTCAGGGGTGCTCTCCCTTTGAACTATGTCCCTTTTTTGCTTTTATTTTTTATTTTGGATTGTATATTTTTAAGTGCTATTTCATTATATTTATGTTAATTTATTTATATTCTTTTGAAGAAAAACTTCTTATGGTTGCTCCAATATTTACAATAGACATCCTTACTTTATCAAAATTTATCATGAAATAATAATATTATATTTTCATATGTTATAAAGTAAGGATCTTAAAACAGTATATAGGACTAGGGATATAGCTTAGTGGTAGAGCACTTGCCTAGCATATGTAAGGCCCTGAGTTCAATCCCTGGTACCAAAAAGAAAACAAACACCAGTGTGTGTATACATATATATATATTGTCCCACAGCTCTTGAATATTAAAAAAAACAACCCTCAATATTATTTTTATTTCACTTTGATTTCTTTTGGTCTGTCTTCAGATTTGTTGATTCTTTTCTTTACCTGTCAAGTTTTTTGATGAACTATTGAAGTCATTATTAATTTTCGTTACTGTTTTCTTATTGCTGGCATTTCTGTTTCATTCTTTCTTGTGATTTTCTTTTCTTTTTTTTTTTTTTTTTTTAAGAGAAACCTTTGGGGACAATCTCAGATTCAGTCTTTTGAGAAAGAGAGAGAGAGAGAGAGAGAGAGAGAGAGAGAGAGAGAGAGAGAATTTTTTCTAATATTTATTTTTTAGTTTTTGGCGGACACAACATCTTTGTTTGTACGTGGTGCTGAGGATCGAACCCGGGCTGCACGCATGCCAGGCGAGTGCACTACTGCTTGAGCCACATCCCTAGCCCTCTTGTGATTTTCATGTCTGTTGAAACTACCTGTCTGATTTTGTATTCTATTCATCTGTTCCATTAGACTCTCTAACTTTTTTTTTTTAAATTGTATTTTAGTTGTAGATGGACCTTTATTTCATTTATTTATATGTGCTGCTGAGAATTGAACCCAGTACCTCACATGTTAGGCAAGTGCTCTGCCACTGAGCCACAACCCCAGTCCCTAGACTCTTTAACTTTTAATCTGAGTTATTTTGTCTCCCCAGAAGAATGGCTTCACTGTCTCTTGTTTCTGAACATGGTTCTGTTGACTGCTTTGTCTCTTGGCTGTGTTTTGTTTTTTTTTTTTTTTCCTGGTCAGATTATATGCGGATTTGGGGGCTTACTTGCTCTCTGATTTCCTTCATTCTGTTTCCTCCTTAACTTTCTAGATGTTCTAGTCATTTGTACTCATGGTTCTCTGGTATTTCCAGTCACTGAGGCTGTGGCTTTCTGTTGTCATATGCCRTTGGTGAATGGAAGAGTGCCTTAAGCAAAAAAGAGAGCACTGTATAACTTCCCCAATGTAGCCTATATCTTGAATTTAGACTCTCCTTAGGTTCCTTCCACTTGTTACTACTTTCTGGTGCCTTCAGGTGTTAGTTTTTTTCTCATTTTTTGTTCAGATTTTGTAATTCTTTTATGCAGTGGGAAGGTTAGTCTGACCAAGCTACTCTGCAGTAATAGCAGCTGGAAATCTCCTGGGCTCCAGAGTAACAATTTAACAAATAAATCCAATGATGTTGCTTTCCCATTGAGGCCCTTTTATATTTTTTCATTATTATTGTCCTAACCTTTTTCTGTAACCTCTCATAAACTGGTCTCATGCTGTGTTCTAATCACACTGACTTCCTTGAGCAAACAGCAGATTCACATTACTTGTTTTATGTTCATTCTGAGTAAGTTTGCAATTGTCTGCTCTGTGTAAATTATTTCTCCTCCTATGGTTGTTAATGTTTATTTCTCTTTGGATGAACATATACCTGTGTTCAAATTTGATTCCCACATACTGTATCTGATCCTGGACAAGTTACTTAACACCTTTATATCTGTGTTTCTTTTGTTAAATGAGCTACAGCTAGGACCGTAACTCAATGGTAGAGCATTTATCTAGCATGTGTGGCATTGGGTTCGATCCTCAGCGTCACATAAAAATAAATAAAATAAAGGTCTAACTACAACTAAAAAAATATTTAAAAAACAAAACATCAAATTCTTTTTAAAAAAATGGTGGGGACTGGGGATGTGGTTCAAGTGGTAGCACGCTCACCTAGCATGCATGAGGCACTGGGTTCGATTCTCAGCACCACATAAAAATAAAATAAAGATATTGTGTCCACCCAAAACTAAAAAATAAATATTAAAAAAAATGGTGATAAAATTGGTAYCACTTCCTCAGAGGTTTGTTGTAAGGATTCAGTAAATATAAATATATCTAAATATCACTTAGAATGGTGCCTGGTGCCTGGGAAGCACTTAGTAAATAATTATTATTCTCCAAAATTCATGATATGGCTCTACTATGTAAAAATTTCTTTATCATCTCTATTTATAGAGAAATTATTATTCTTTGTTAATACATATACTGAGATTTACAAGCCTATGAGTAGATCTCATGTGTTTTTTGAGTTGCCATATGATTTATCTTATAAAACAATATTTTTCCTTCTAACCTCAACCTCAGGGATGATAGAAATTTAAGAAACAAAGGCCTAATAAGCGGTGTGAAGTCACTCAGTAAAGAAGAATTGAGTGGAGAGCTGTATAACTTATCTCTGAACACAGATTTGTGTCATCAGCCTTGTGTTTCTAAGCAACGATTGAAAGCAGGTAATATTTTTATTGTGAATAACTGGAAATATATCTTTTATGTTCTAAGATTTGTAATAACATTTCAAGTTTTAATCTTGTACTTTTAAAATGACATTAGATTTGGAATACTTGCTGGCATTTAAATCCTACAAGTAAATGAAAATTATAATACTAATACAAAAAATATCATAAACATGACATTCTGTGTATACTTTTACAGATTAACTTGATTTTAACCATATACTCGCATATAGTTTTACATATTTAAAATTTTTATTTTATTTATTTTTTATTTATTTTTTATTGGTTGTTCAAAACATTATTATTATTATTATTATTATTATTATTATTATTATTAGTTGTAGGTAAACACAATACCTTTATTTTATTTTTGTGTGGTGCCGAGGATCGAACCCAATGCCTTACACATGCTAGGCAAGTGCTTTACCTCAGAGCTACAACCTCAGTTCTATATATTTATAATTAATGTGTGCATGCTCATTTGTACCTTGCAAAATATGTAGTAGCTATAAGAAATAATCATTTCAATTGGGGAGAGTAGTTTCTTTTTAAAATTAGCTTCATATTTGTAACTTCCTATTAATGCAGTAAAAACCTCAGCTAGTAATAATTGAGAAACTCACAAGACTCTAATAAGACTTTTTCTAAAATTTTAAACTAATAAAAAAGAAAAGTAAAAGCAATACTGTTGTCTTACCTTCCTTTAACCAGAATAATTTCTTCTGTGGCTTGATAATTGATGGAATATTATATTAAATGACATCATGTATAAATATATCCCACTTTTTCCCTCTGTGGAAAAGTAATTATTGAGGTCTTTACTAGATTGTACTTTTTATATATAAATGCACAAATATTTATACTTATACTACCTATTTGCCCTTTTTCTGTGAATAGCACACATTGTTGTAATATTAAAAAAAAGGCATTGGGGGGAATAACAGGATATTCTAGTTTAWGGTTTTTCAGGGATCATGTGCTTTTGGTTTGCCCATTATTTTAGTGTCATTTTAAATTCTTAGTTTTTATTTGTAGAGATAAACCACTTAAAGTTCTTTTTAAAGGGGAGGGCATGAAGATGCTTAAACCAAAAATTTTAGTCCTTTCAGAATAATTTATTGATGTGAGCTGAGTTTAAAAATGTGTACTATTTTGGAAGAAAACTTGCTTCGTTGCAGTTTTTAGTTTTCTTTCTTTTTTAGTTGAAGATGGACACAATACCTTTATTTTATGTGGTGTTCAGGCTCAAACCCAGTGCCTCACACCTGCTAGGCAAGCACTCTACCGCTSAGCCCCAGCCCCAGCTCCAGTTTTTAGTTTTCTATTGTAAATAAATTCAAGGCTCTCTTGTAACTCTCCTTTGTTTTGAAAATAATAATATTAATTGTAGTTAAAAATCACATTTTTTTTTTTTTACATTTCCATTGGAGTAAAAATATTTAGTTCCCTTTTTTAAAAAGATAAAACATTGGCCACAATAGTATATTTATGTTGCATCTAAAATGACTATAGTAGAAATGCATGTTTCTAAGTTAAGTATTTCTAGGTAATTCAAATACTAATTACATATGAATTGTTTATTATTTATGACCAAATACTACTTATTTATAATATTTACTTTTAGTGCCCTCAGTAAAGCCTGTTAACTATTTGTTTTAAAGAAGCAACACCAGTAGAAGAGAGGTCTGATGAAAAGTCTAAAAATTCAGGACTGTCCATTCGACTTGAACACATAATATCTGATCTTGAAAAATCTCTTGGAACAGCTTTATCTTCAATATTAGAAACAGAAATGAAAATTGCTTTTGGAAACCTTTGGATGGAGGTGATTAGTTCAACTTTATTAATTGAAAATTTCTTTTTTTATTATTGAAGATTTGTTATTTTAAGAGATAACTATATCACATCAATCTTTTTCTCCATGCTTTTGAAAAAACTTTGATGGTTAAATGATATATGTCTTAAGGTTTGGGAATACATATTATTATTTCTTTTTATCAGTCAACATGTATTTATGGCACATATATTGTGTGTCAGACACACTGCCCCATGGAGCTTAAATTGAATCCAGAAAAACTTTACTCTTTAATTTCTTTTGAATCAAAGTGTCTGATGTAAGGAATCATGTCAGATATTTTTCATTAAAAAAGTATATTTTTGGTTTATGCCATGTAAACATGAATATCAAAGTACAAATTTATCTCATTAAGACATTTTGAATTTTCTTCCCTTTTTTTTTTTTTTGTGTGTGTGTGTGTGTGTGTGGTGCTGGGGATTGAACCCATGGCCTTGTGCATGAGAGGCAAGCACTCTACCAACTGAGCTATCTATATCAGCAGCCTTAAATTTTCTTTAGGTTAATATTTTTCCTTCAATTCAACAAAACACCTAATTTAGCAATTGTGATCAGTTTAATCTTTGTTTGATTTTCACATTTATAGCTACCAGAAACATTATAGCCCATTAATTGTAGCTTGCATCTTGATCCAGCTTTTCAGTGAAATTCTAATATCTTCCATTCTGATATCTTTGCTACTTTATTACATTATCAAATGGTGAACCAAGAGGATGAAGAATGATAAGAAGATTCTAGAAGGGTTGATTTAAGTTGGTTATTTCATTGTAGAAACATGAATGACTTAAGAGCTGTGACTTCTTTTTTTTTCTTTTTGTAGTTGTAGATGGACAGCATGCCTTTATATAAATTGTTTATTTTTATGTGGTGCTAAGGATCAAACTCAGTGCCTCACACATGCCAGGCAAGTGCTCTGCCACTGAGCTATAGCCCCAGCACCACAGCTGTGCCTTCTTATCGAACTAAATGATCAGTTATTCTCTTTGACATCTTTTTTCTACATAAAATTTTCCCCCCAGTTCTATGAAACAATTAGTTTGATTTCTTCATTGAAATGATTATATTGAAAAGTAGATTGAGGGATCTTAACTGATTAAAACTATGTTTCCTCTCTGATTGGAAGTAGGTTTTCTTTTTGTATTCATGATTCCAGAGACCACAAATATTAATAGTAATATGAATTAAATAGTGTAATGGAATTATTTTAAGATGATTAGTTTTTAATAAAATATCTTTTAATTTAAAAAGAATTCAACTAACTGTATTTTCCCCTAAAGTATATGTAGGAATTCCTAAATAGATGTATTTGAATAATTGGAATAATCAATAAATTCATAGATGTTAATCTTCTTAAATACTTTTTAGATGCTGTACTTGAAACCACCATGGACTCTAATACACTTATTACAGTGCTTTAAAAAACATTGGTTGGCTGTGTTTGGATTAGTTATGAAAAAGAACTTGCTTTTAACTGTTGAGAGACTATATGAAAATCTCTGTAGAGGTATGGATCTTTTTTTTCCAATATTATATTAAAGTATTAATTCAAATCAGCAGATATATTCCATGAGATGTAAAGATGAATTAAAGAAGTTTATGGATTAGCTCCTAAAAGAGTTCACTCTTAATTTCTTTATTTTTGGTACTGAAGATTGAACCTAGGGGCACTTTACCACTGAGCTATATCCCTGTTCTTTTGATTTTTTATTTTGAGAGAGGGTTTTGTTAAAGTTATTGAGGGTCTCACTAAGTTGCTGAGGCTGGCCTTAAACTTGGGATCCTTTTGCTTCAGCCTTCTGAGTAGCTAGATGCTTTAGACAGCTTTCCATTGCTCTGACTAAAAGACTTGATAAGAACAATCGAGAGGAGGAAAAGTTTATTTTGGCATATTTTTTCAGGGGTTCAGTTCATGGTCAGTAGAGTCCATAGCTCTGGGTCTAAGGTGAGCCGAGCATCATTCATTGAGCGAAGGGCAAGAAGGAGGAAAATAGCTCAGGACATGACATGCAGGAAGCAGAGAAAGAGCTCTGCTCACCTGGGAGAAAATATACCCCAAAGGCACACCCTCAGTAACCTACCTCCACCAGCCATACCCTACCTATCTACAGTTACCACCCAGTTAGTCCCTGTCAGTGATTTAATTCACTGATATGGTCACAAAAAATAATCTAATTACTTCACCTGTGAGCATTGTTGCATTGTATCACACATGAGCTTTTGCCAGACATCACATATCCGAAAAAACACTGGGATTACAGGTGTATTCTACCACATTCATGGCTGTATTTCTTTTTTTCTTTTTTTAATATTTATTTTTTAGTTTTTCGGCAGACATAACATCTTTGTTTGTATGTGGTGCTGAGGATCGAACCCGGGCCGCACGCATGCCAGGCAAGCGCGCTACCGCTTGAGCCACATCCCCAGCCCTGTATTTCTAATTTCTAAAGGGAGTTTGCAGCATTGTTGATGTTCTTGGATATTGTGAAAATATAATATTTTTTTGTACTGGGAATTGAACCCATGGCCTCCTGCATAGTAGGCAAGCTCTGTACTACTGAACTACATCTCCAGCCTVTGAATGTATGATTTTTAATGGTGTTCAGTTTGAAAGCTTTTAAAACTGTATTTATAGTCTATTCAGTTATACAAGTAGAATTAATTATAGTTTTTTTTTTCATTTCTCACCATGTTAGACACAAACTTTGAACCCATTCTTGTATTGTATGTATCAAGGATCTAAACCATATGAAGAAGGAATAGGAAATCTTTAGTTTGGGAGCATAGCAAATTTTAGAACTGGAAGAGATGACAGTGAATCGCTGAGTTGGTGGTTTTTAAACCATGCTAAATAGAACTTTCGATTTCTAGGCATACCTCTGCTGCCACCTGTAGGTAGGGGGTGGCAAGAAAGGTGAGGGGAGCCTGGTAGGTAGGTGCTGCATTTGAACTTTAACCCCAACATTAGCCAGGGAAGCCTTTTTTTGTTGTTTTCTAAATCTGTTCAATTCCATGTAGCAGTTGAAAGAGATTTTCTGTTATGAAGAAAAAAATATGAAAAGTGCTGATCTAATTTTATTAAAGCTTATGTTTTATGATCAAGGAAATTAGCTGAGATGGGAAAGTAACTTGTCCAAAGCCAAAGAGCTAGATTTGTCTTTCTATACCTTTAAAAGGTAAAGTATGATTATTATTACAGGTTCAGATGGTTCTTAGCTTTTTTTTTTTTTTTAAAGAGAAAGAGAGAGAGAGAGAATTTTTTAATATTTATTTTTCAGTTCTCGGCGGACACAACATCTTTGTTTGAATGTGGTGTTGAGGATCGAACTCGGTCTGCACGCATGCCAGGCGAATGCGCTACCGCTTGAGCCACATCCCCAGCCCCCAAGTTCTTAACTTTTTCGAAACTCCTCACATGATCTGTTCTGTTTATTGTTTTATGTATTAGTTATATTCAGTCTACTTCTAAAAACCAACTGTGGTGTCTTATAATAACTTGACTACAAGAGGACATTAAGTTAGGCTTAAAAGCACAAAAAAAAGCCAGGCATGGTAGTTCATGCTGGTAATCCCAGCAGCTTGGGAGGCTGAGGCAGGATCGAGAGTTCAAAGCCAACCTCAGCAACAGCAAGGCGCTAAGCAACTCAGTTTATTTATTTATCTAAATAAAATACAAAATATGGCTGGGGATGTGGCTCAGTGGTCTAGTGCCCATGAGTTCAATCCCTTCTACCATAAAAAAAAAAAGCACAAAAACCATGTAATGAAGAATAAGATTAATTTACCATATTTACTAAAGAAACATGCACAGTTATTGGAACACTTTGGCATATATTTTTAACAGTAAGCTTCCTAGAGGCTATGATACCYGCTCCTCGCAAAAAAGGCATATTCTAGGTAGTTATACCTCTTTCTCTGTCTCTCCTCTCTAGTGTAAGCTCTTTGAAAGCATTTTATAGTGTTCAAAATTCCTTCTGGGATATTTAAAACACCTGATGTTTCTTATCCATGGTAGCTGTTGAATGAATATCTGCTGTTAGATGTTACCAATTTTTTAACAAAAGACTTTTGTGGCATTTCCTTTAAGTATAGATGTTATTTTTTAGGGCTATTATTTTATAAGGGACATGGAACAACCTTAGTTGGACATGTCTTCAGAGCAGTTTTGCTAAACGTGTGGAAACATTTTTCATATAGGGATATAATTTAGTCTTTTATTTTATTTTATTTATTTATTTATTTATTTATTTATTTATTTATTTATTTATTTATTTGTTATTGGTGGACACAACATCTTTGTTTGTATGTGGTGCTGAGGATCGAACCCGGGCCGCACGCATGCCAGTCGAGCGCGCTACCGCTTGAGCCACATCCCCAGCCCTAATTTAGTCTTTTAAAAGGGAGTAAAGTGCATTTTATAGACAGGTTAGTTTTAAAAATGGGTATCTAGTTGCTATCTTCCATTTTCTAGTGGTGGGCCTTGTTCTGCTCTTTCATGCACCTAAGAGATGATAGGTAACAGCTCTAAATGGTAATAGGGAAGGAAGTGAAAAGGAAGGGACTACCTTCTGCTTAAAAATTATTTTTGCATTCATTGTGTGCATAGTTTATTGGTCCTTGATCTAGAAGAATCTGAAGCCTATTTTTAGTGACTTTTGAAGAATACATGGTGGGATTATAAAAATACTTCCTATTTTAAAATAACTTGTAATTAGAAAAAAAATCTCAGTTTATAATTTTGTTTATCTTTTAGTAGTATCTTTAGCTGTTGAATTACATAGATGTGTCTAAAATTTTGTGGAAAGTGACTAATAATTTTTATCAGCTTTGTTATCCAGATTAACTTTACTCTGAATAATTATTGACCCATATAAGTCTTAAACTATTTCATCCATATTGATTTTTGTATTGTATCTTTGTTCTCAATTTATCATTGTTATTCCCTTTTCCCCATAATCTTTGTAAACAAATTTTGTAAGATAGGAATTATTAATTCAAGGACTTAAGCTCTACTAAACATGGACTACATTGGAGAAGCACCCATAAAAGAATCTGGGTGCAGTGGCGCACACTTAKAATCCCATGGGTCAGGAGGCCGAGGCAAGAGGATCTCAAGTTTAATTCTGTCCCAAAATAAAAAAATAAAAGGAGCTGGAGATGTAGCTCACTGGTAGAGTGCTCCTAGTTTCAATCTCCAGTACTAGACACACATACACACACATGAAAAGGGAGGATAAAAAGCTATGCCCAAATATGTCTTTCTCAGGATGGGGTTGTGTCTCAGTGGTAGAACTCTTGCCTAGCACATGTGAGGCACTGGGTTTGATCTTCAGCACCACATTAAAAATAATAATAATAATAATAAAATAAAGTTATTAAAAATGTACTTTTAAAACTTAATTTGATTTTTCATAATTTCAAAAGCAAGTTCTTGTTGTGTAAGTAATAAAGAGGAATATTTTTAACTCCTGATGCCAATGAAAAATCATGTTGTGACTATCAMATTGTGAACATTAAAACAAAAACAAAACAAACACATTGTAGCATGGTTATTTTGCTTTTGAAAACTGTTAGATTGTATTATGCCTTAATAATGGAAAAAAATTTCTGTTTTTTGAGTTTTGTGACAATAGCAATTTATTTAATTTTATTGTTCATAACTTTATTTTTAATTTTCATTCATGGCTGTACTAGGGATTGAATGCAGAGGCAGTCTACCACTGAGCTACATCCCCACACTTCTTTATTTATTTTGAGAGAGGTTCGTGCTAAGTTGCTAAGGCTGGCCTCCAACTTGTGGTCTTTCTGCCTCAGCCTCTTGAGTTGCTGGGATTGCAAGTGTGTGCCATCATGTTGGCTAGTTTGAGAGTTAATGTAAGCAGTTGTAACTCCTTAAAAGAAAATTGTTGTACTTTAAATTACTATTTGTAGACTACCTTACTTTAATTTACAGGAAAAAAAAATTGTTTGCTTCTTTTGCTTCTCRCTGATATCCAAATTTTTATTTTCTGCTGATATTTTGGTGTACACACCAAAATATAACACATTTTCAATACATTTAGTATGAAGTTTCTTATTTTGAAGGTAAATCACTATATAATTAATTGATCATGACAGGGACCACATGTAATTTACATGTTTGCCATTAAGATGGGACTCCCCTTTTGCCTTCATAATAATTTGAATGTGAAATGGCTTCATTTTTGAAAATCTGTGGTTTGACTTGTTCAGTGATTGTTTCTTTTCTCTGAAAATGTAATGTTCTTTTATTTGACTTTGAAGTTGGACCATGTTGAGGGAACTCCTGGAATCTGAATACAGAACACCAGTCAACTTGAAGGACTTTGTGTATAAATATTTAATTGTTGYTTTTTATATAAGAGGGATGGATTAGGAGTGGTATATAGATATAAATGTATACTCTTCTTAAATTTCAAAGTAGTATTAGCATAATGTCCAGAGTCATTTTGTGTTGTATACTCACTCTTACATGGTTTTCTTTCTTAAATTTCTCTTACCAGCTAATAAGGCAGTGGATTTTACAACAGTGATCTTCTTGCTTCAGGATTCTAAAAGTTTGTTACAGGCTTTCAGTACAAGGTCAAATTATGATGGTATTCTTCCACAGKCCTTTGCTGAAGTGAACAAACTGCTCCAAACATGTACAGAGGTAAGATAGCTTGGGAATGCCATTTAAAGTAGCTGGTCATGTGTTCTAAAAATGTGTTTAGCAGACAACAGTAGTTACAGGATAATTTAATTCTAACTAAGGCTGACATACTAAAGCCATTAAGTAAATATTAAGTAAATTGAAKTGGGTATAAGCAACTCTTATCACTAGTTTTGAAATGCACATCCTTTTATGGAAGAAGTGTCACGTGTCACATCAGTTGCTGGTATTTTATATTAACTCATTTATGGATAGAAGAAAGCTATTGCACTATTTATTTCCAGTGCCCTAAGCCAGTGAATCTCACATGCATTAAAAACCAATAGGAGATGTTTTTGAACATGCAGATGCTAAGAATCTATTAAGTTTTATACAGTAAGGTTTTGCCAGTGATGTCCTATTCTTTTTTTATTTTTTATTTAGAAATAATTGCAAAATTAAGAAAAAGTTGCAAGTGTGGTACAAAAATATTCCTGTATAAATTCTTTAGCCTGAGTCCCCAAATGTTAACATTTTATTACATTTGCTCTGTTGTTTTCTCTATCAATCTACATATCTACCCATGTGGTTTCTCCAAGCTGTATTATATTGATCATTTGTTGAAGATGTGATGCCCCTTTACCTTGAAATATTTCTATGTGCAGTTACTTAAAAAAAAAAGAATCTTATGTGTTATAGGCTAATAAATCAGGAAATTAACATTGATAAATACAGTTGTCTAATCTGCAGACCTTATTCAAACTTCACCAATTAACCTATGAATTTGTGTGTGTGTCTTTTTCTGGGGATTAAACTCAGGACCTCATACATGTCAGGCAAGTGCTATACTACTCAGCCACATGAATTTTTTTAAACAAGTGATTTTTTTTAAAACATGTGATTCTTTTGCAGTTACCCTCCTACTGATACCGTTTTATGATATTTAAACTTAACTATGTAAGTTTTGTCCCAAGTAATACCTTATTTCTTCAGTCTTCTAATTTCAAATTAGAAAAGCCARGGAGTTACTATGTGTCAGAAACAGCTTAAAAAACCCCAGTGTCATAACTACTAGGGGATATATTAATGGAACTTTTATCTACTATATATTATAGAATATGTATATATTAAAATGTAATATCTATGTACTTAACATGTAATATATATATTCTATAAGAATAATATATTACCTTTTATAATTATATATTATGTAGCTTATAAGTTGAACTTTATATTACATAAAATATATACAAAATATCATGTTCTCCTTTTTCACTGCAGAACTGAATTGGGTGGGTTTATCTCACTTATTTTTTTTTTTCTTTTTTGGGGGGGGTACCAGGGATTGAACTAGAGGCACTCAACCACTGAGCCACATCCCCAGCCCTATTTTGTATTTTATTTAGAGACAGGGTCTCACTGAGTTGCTTAGCACCTCCCAATTGACAAAGCTGGCTTTGAACTCGTGGTCCTCCTGTCTCAGCCTCCCGAGCCACTGGGATTACAGGCGTGCACAGCCAGTTCTGGCTATCTCATTGATTTTTCATGGTCAGTTAGGCCCACTACCTATGAAGTAATTGTAGGATTAGATGACACTAATCTTAGTTGCTGAGAAAAAAGAAYTTACTTGCTATTTAATAAAATATCTCAAAGAGTAAAAGAAGCATCTTTTTAAAAATACATATTAACTAATAGGAAATATGTGATCATTTTTGAGGAAAGAATTAAGGGACAAATTAAGAGATGCATCAGATTTGATAAATTTTTAGTAATGTCTCAGTAACTTCAGAAACAGTAGATTACTTCCAAAGATAGAATAGCTCAATATAATAATGATTAAAAAAAAATTCCACCTCCTAATTTATCAAGTGTAGAAATTTTTTTTAAATGGTCTTTTGGTTTAATATAACGAAAACATTGGTAGTTTTTTATTTATTTTTTTTAATGGCTTGTTTGACTTTTTAAACTGTTGGGGAAGAACAGACTTGGGAATTTAAGGAGTCACATCTTGATTGTTGTACTTGGATTGTATCAGGAAAGATATCTCTTCCCATCACAAAATTGAGTCCTAAATCATATTTTTAGTGAAACAAATGCAGTGATACTAAGAAGCTTAGTTTTTTTAAAAAATATTTTTCAGTTGTAGATGAACACACAGTATCTTTATTTATTTTTATGTGGTGCCGAGAATCGAGCCCAGTGCCTCACACATGCAAGGCAAGTGCTTTACCACTGAGCTACTGCCCCAGCCCCTTAGTTGGTTTTAAATTAGAGAATAAAACAAAATATTAGGGTTGATTGAGATGAAAATAATGTTCTCAAAGTTTCAAACTCTTATCAGTTGGAAGCCTGGAGAATGGGAAGTATCATCAAAACGTGATATTAAAATTTATTGTCAGTTATCTAATAATTGCATGCCTGCTGTCTATACGTTGCCCAGTGGATATGTAAAACTATTGAATTGTTGTACCATAAGTTATTCATTCTTGAATTTTCAGTTTCTACATTAGCAAAATTCATGAAGGTGATTAGTGAAGAATCTAGGTGACACCCTCATTATTTCCTTTCTTAACACTTGACATTAGTGCAATTGCTTGAAACCGTTTGTTGTTTCCAGGATTAGAGCTTTAAAGTGTTGTTCCTATAGCTTGGCCTGGTGGTGCATGCCTTTAATCTTAATGACTGTAGAGCTTAAGGTAGGAGGATCACATATTAGAGGCCAGCCTCAGCAATTTAGCAAGATCTTGTCTCAAAATAAAATATTAAAAGAGCTGAGGATATAGCTCAGTGATGAAGTGTTCCTGGGTTCAGTCCTCAGTACCAAAAAGTAAAGTGTTGTTTCTTTATTTTCATGTCAGAAAGAATTCACTATCTAAGTAAGCCCAGGAACATTGTGACTTAGCTTATTCTTTAAAATTCACGTTCAGGCCGAGCATAAAGGTGTATGCCTGTAACCACAATGGCTTGGGAGGCTGAGGCAGGAGGATTGTGATTTCAAGGTCAGCCTCAACAAACTTAGTGAGGTCTAAGCAATTTAGCGAGAACTTATCTCTAAATCAAAAAATAAAAAAGGTTCAATTCCTGGCCCCTCCCCTCCAAAAAAAAAAAAAAAGAAAATATGTGTTCGGTAGGAGTTGTTTTGTAGGATGCATCAGATGTGTTAAATTTTTAGTCATGTCTCAGTAACTTCAGCAACAGTAGAATACTTCCAAAGATAGGATAGCTCAATATAGTAATGGTTAAAAAAAAAAAAAAGAGAATTCCACCTTCTAATTTATCAAGTGTAGAAATTTTTTTTAAAAAATAGAAATATTTATATTTGTTTGCTTGAAAGGCTTCTGAGAAACTTAATAGTTTAATGGACTAACATCATTTCCAGATTTTTATGTAAATGAAGTGAAACTAGGAAAAGGATATGCACATACTCGTGTACACACACATTTATTCTACAAGTCTCTTACCACCAAAAAAATAACACTTATTTTATCAGCCTTTGAAATCTTCCTTTTTTCAACATGGAAACTTAACCTTGGAAAATAGAGTAATTTTATTGAAGTTCATAAAGCAGGTTATAGTAGAACAGAAATCAAAAACCAATTTTTAAACTCTTAGGTAAAAATTTTTTTCTCATTCTCTTGGCTTTTTAAAAAAATTTTTCTCCTCTCCTCCCCTCGCTGAGAATTGAATCCAGGGCCTCTTGTCATTGGCCATGCTATTTGCTGTGCTGTCTCCTTTCTGAAACCTCTCTATTTACCTTGGCTTCTGTTGCTATTGTATATATGTGATTCCTCCCGTATTTATGCTTGCTAGTTCTCATTTTTCCCCTTCATTTTTCCTATTGATTACCTTCTTTTTTTTTTTTTAAATTTATTTTTATTTTTTTTTTAAAGAGAGAGTGAGAGAGGAGAGAGAGAGAGAGAGAATTTTTAATATTTATTTTTTTTTAGTTCTCGGCAGACACAACATCTTTGTTGGTATGTGGTGCTGAGGATCGAACCCGGGCCGCACGCATGCCAGGCGAGCGCGCTACCGCTGAGCCATATCTCCAGCCCTGATTACCTTCTTTTTTTTTTTTTTTTTGCAAAATTATATCTCAATAATTTCATCTACTTCTGAGTCTTCATGAGAATGATTCTCAACTATGTTTTAAGTCTCAGATCATATATATTTATCTGCTGGACATCTTTTATTTTCTGTTGTTGTTTTGTTTTGTGGTGCTGGGGATTAAACCCAGGGCCCTATGCATGTTAGGCAAATGCTCTACTGTTGAGCAATATACCCAGCCTCAAGCAGACACTCTTCTCCTCTTTTTTTTTTTTTTTTTTAAATTTTTAACAAATACACTTTTTAGTTGCAGATGGACATAATATCTTTATTTTATTTATTTTTATGTGGTTCTGAAGATCTAACCCAGTACCTCACACATGCCAGGCAAGTGCTTTACCACTGAGCCCCAGCCCCAGCCCCACCAGATACTCTTCTTGATTTTACTATAGGAGCCCACCTAGTTTGGAAACATGAACAAATAAATTAAACGATTTCTTGCTTTCCCATTATAATATATGGTATGTTCATTATATTTCCCCTTATCAGCAGTGCATAGTTTAATGTGCTATTTAAAATTGCAATGAATGAGGCACATTAAAGTAACATTTCTATCAATTGCATCATATGCATCTTAGATGTGTTGCTTGAAAGTACTTTTGTTTGAATTTTACATTGAATAAAACTATTATTACATTCTTTCAGAGAAGTATTCAAGAAGGTTCCGGGCTGAGGTTGTGGTTCAGTGGTAGAGCWCTCGCCTAGCATGTTCRAGGCCCTGGGTTTAATCCTCAGCACCGCATAAAATAAATGAATAAATAAATAAAATAAAGATGATATTGTATCCAATTAAAAAAATAAATATTAAAAAAAGAAGGTTCCACCTACTGAAAGTGCATATGTGCACGCACGCACACTTTTCTAAATGTATGGCCATCCTAAATTTCTATTATTGATACTATTATTCTTTTAAACGTGTAGGTTAAAAAAAAAATCTTAGGGTCTCCCTCACTCCCTGAATCTAGCTTTTGGCCTAATCTTTTAAAATATTTCTTGCACATATATAGTTTTTCCATTCTACCTCCTATACATAATTGAAATTACCAGAACTTCTCTCTTGAATCATTCAGTGGTGTCCTAACTAATATTCTTTTTTTTTTTTTTTTTTGTACTGGGAATTGAATCCAGGGATTCCTAGCCACATCCCCCATCCCTTTTTTATATTTTATTTAGAGACAGTGTCTTGCTGAGTTGCTCAGGGCCTCGCTAAGTTACTAAGGTTGGCTTTGAATTTGGGATCCTCTTGCCTCAGTCTTCCAAGCCATTGGTATACAGGCGTTCATCACCATACCTGGCCTAATCAGTATTCTTGTCTACATCTTTGTTCAGTGTGTATTACAGTGCAGCTCTGAGTATATCACTGCCAATTTTAGAAACATTTAGTGGTGGTTCACCATTCCTCAGAGGTAGATGACATCTTAATTTTTGTTTTACAGTCCTTTGCAGCTTTTTCTAGTTCTCCCCCTCCAACCCCTATTCCGTGATTGTAAGGTGCTTGGAGCTTGATTCCACCTATTTATCTTTGTGTCCTTTATCTAGTTCAATAGCATGTGTAAACGTATTGAAACAGCATTCTTAAACTGACATTAGAATGTTAGCTAAGAAACAGCACCATGATAAATACAATGGTAATATCCTTTAAAAGGAAAAGGAAAATTTGCTTTCTAGCTTTGATACATTTCTGGGAACATTCTGTACATAATAAAAGAAAAAGAATAGCCAGCATTTTCCAGAAAGCTAGTACGTTTGTAAGCACAAATGTCATTCTGTTTTGTTTTTTTTCCTTTACTAGTGAAGGACTAGCTACATTTTATGAAATTTTTATTTCCCCAGGTCAAAACAAAACCGTCGCTAAATTCTTCAGAAAATGCAGTGAGTAAAAAACAGGAAGATAGTTCTTCGATGAAGTCTCATAACCAAGAAATCACTGTTTTCTCCAGTTCTCCTCTTCCCCAACCCAATAGGCATCAAGAAATATGGTCTATCCTAGAGAATCTTTGGATTACAATATATCAAAACAGGTACTAAATTTCCAAGAATTTTTAAATTCTAGAGTTGTAAACTTGCTTTTTCTAGATTTTTCAATTATTATTATTATTCATTGAATAGTTAGAATTTGGGTTTTGAGTTTAATGTACTAGATTGCCTTTTGTCAAATAGATTTGTTACAAATAGTGAACTTGGGGCTGGGGTTGTGGCTTAGCGGTAGAGCGCTCCCCTTGTACGTGCRAGACCCTGGGTTTGATCCTCAGCACCACATACAAATAAATGAATAAAATAAAGGTGTAAAAAAAGAAAAAAATCTTAAAAAAAAAAACAAATAGTGAACTTCAGTGGGATATGTATCAGAATTACCTAAAGACTTTAAAATGTTGTGTGTGTTAGAGTTTTTTTAAAAATAGAGGAATARTTTATTTAAAAAAAAAAAAGAAAAACACTAGGTGATTCAGATCTAAAACCTTGATGAGAAGCATAGCTTTATGTGTGTGTGTGTKTGTGTGTTGTATGAATGTCAAAACTAGTGAAGACTCACCTAGATTGGCTAAACAAGTAAATTTAAAAGTAAAATAAAATAGTGAATTTTATGTTGTGTGTATTTTATCATAGTTATACTTTGGGAAGCACTGTAAAGTAGGGGAGAAAATTACCTTTAATGCTACTACCTAAAGGCTATCATAGTTAACATTGTTAATATATTGGTTTTAGGCACATTAATTTCTTTTGGGCTTCCATAGCAAATTACCACTAAGTGAGTGGCTTAGTATAACAGAAATTTATTTGCTCACAGTTCTGGATGCTAACATTGAAAATCCAAGTATCTGGCTGAGTTAATTCTGGAAGTTCTGAGGAGAATCTATTCTATTCATTTCTCCAGTCTTCTAGTGTTTGGCAGGAGTGCTTGCCTTGTAGATGTTTCACTCCAATCTCTGTCTTTGTTTTTACAGAGGATTAGGGCCAGCCTACTCTAATCTAACCTTCACTTTAAATTAACTAATTATATCTGTAAAGACCTTATTTCAAATAAAGTCACATTCTGAAGTTCTGGTAAATATGAATTTTGGGAGGACACCATTGTAATCCAGTATACCCTGTTTGTTTTAATTTTTTTCAAAACAGTTGTTATATTATTTAAGTCAGTTTTCTGTATTTTTATTTTTCTATTTCATACAAATGAGCAGAGCAACATCTTAGTAGTTTGGTATTTCATCAAGTGGTTGATTCACTATTTGCTTAACACTTTTTATAATGATAATGTTGGACATTTAGGGTATTACTAATGTTGGCTAATTGTGAATAACTATGATAAATTTCTAGAAGTGAAGTTAACTAGGACAAACTGCCAGTTTCAACAGATATGTAATCTGATATCTATTTTCTTCATCCTTATGTTCTTAGTGACTTAATGGAGGTTGATAATATTCCTGCTTCTCGTATTTTGTGATCTCTTAGAATGAAACATTATTCACATAGTTTTTACAGTGTTACTTTAGATTAGATCTGTATAGTGTCTGACCTAGATCCCTTGCATAAATGTCAGCCCAGATTTTCACATGTCACCATATTTTATTTCTAACAAATAATCTGAATTATGAGAAATTTATATTATTACTTTATTTTAAACACTGCAAATGGAAATTCTTGAATTACTTAAATGAATATAAATTAAGTATCTTTTTTTAAAAAAATTTTAGTACAGATGTGTTTCAAAGATTGGGCTCAAATTCAACTCTGACTACTTCAAAAATAGCATCTTTTGAGGAAGCATTTATATATCTTCAAAAGTTAATGGCAGCAGTGAAGGATATTCTTGAAGGAATTCAGAGGTAAACTATATTAATTTTATGTTTCATTTATGTATTATGTTTCTCTTTTTTCTGGTTTATCAGACTTCTTGAGTTGCTTGTATTCTTTTTCTAGCATATTTTATAAACTGATGGCTTTTAGATTCAACTTCTTCCTCCACTACAGCAAATCCCTGTTTCCAGTTTGGACCTCAGAATGTTTGCACCTTTTTCCTTCCTAGGAAAAAATGTATAAGATTGTTAGCCTCATGATGAGTTTTATATTCTTTATTATATAACTATTTCCTAGAGTAGTACCAGATTCCTAGTAGACAATCAATATATTAAGGTAATTGTCCTTGCACTTTTTTTGTTCCATAGATATTCTATTAATTTGATTTAAAGGAGTGCTAATCTAAGTAGACAGGAAAAATGTCAGCTTTTTGGCAGCTTCATTTGCACTTTTAAAACAAATATGTTAGTATTTTTTAATGTGGTTAATTCTTCCAATACATTTTCTCAGTATGACAAACTGAAATAGTGTGAGAAGCAACTAGTTTTCTGATGGCTGAAACCAGAAACAGTGCCAAACTCTATTTTACCACATTTTTTCCTATATATACATACTTATCAGGATGTTTAATTTACAAATTAGGCACACCAAAATATTAACGATGCTAACTAGTAATAAAATAATTGTCACAATATATTGATATAAAGGGTTATGTGTAGTCTCTCTTTCACTCTGAAAATACATTATGTATTATTGTGTGTTTTTATATTTTTTWAAATTTTTAAAAGTTTTTTAGTTGTAGTTGGACACAATACCTTTATATTTATTTATTTAGTTTTATATACTGCTGAGGATCGAACCCAGTACCTCACACATGCTAGGCAAGCACTTTACCACTGAATTACAGATCCAGCCCTCATACTGTGTTTTTGGACCATAGTTGACCTTGGATAACAAACTATGGAAAGTGAAACCATGGACAAGGGGGTACTGCTGTTGACAGCAGTCAAGAGCTGTTAGCATTTCAATAGGGATATACGCTATAGCGGAGAGACAAGGTTTGGCAAAAGATGAAACTGAATCAGGGTTTGAGGAAAATGTCTCACAGACCAAGGAGAGCAGTTCTACTTTTTTTTTTTTTTTTTTTAAGTTTTTTAGTTGTAGATGGACACAATACCTTTATTTATTTATTTTTATGTGATGCGGAGGGTCGAACCCAGTGCCTCATGAATGCTAGGCAAACACTCTACCACTGAGCCACAGCCCCGTCCTAGAGCAATTCCTCTTTATCCTCTAGGCTAGTAATTCTCATACATTGAGAGCTCTAAATTATGTCAGGACAGAAGTGTTTCTGGTCCAAAAAGCTTTAGAAATATTTCGTACTATACTACCCGCTTTGAAAATCACTATATACATGCATATTAATGGTTTCAAAGTTATGTAGGTAGATCCTTTCAATTTTATTGTTTGGTTAATTGCAGTACTGGGGATTGAACCCAGGGCTTTGCACATACTAGGCAAGCTCTCTACCTTCCCCCCTTTCGATTTTAGAATTTTTAAAACACATTGATCCTTGGGTCCCTCATCCCGGAGATTCTGATGTAATTTGTCTGAGATGTGCTGGGTAACAAGATTTTGAAAATTTCTTCAGGAGATTCTAATGTATTAGCAAGGTTGAGAACCACTATMCAATATGTTATCCACTGTTTCTCAAAGTGTGGTCTCTCCTATACTTTTATTAAAAGAACCGATTCTCAAGCTCTCCCAGATGTACTGAATCAAAAGCTCTAGGCATGGGAACTAGCTTCTGTGTCCTCCAGGTGATTCTGTACACACTAAAGCATTACTAGTCTAGGTGGTTTTCCGACTTGTGGCAGATTATGATTAGCTGGGAGGTTTTTGTTTTTTGTTGTTGTTGTTGTTGTTTATAATAGTGGTTGGGCCCTCCTTTACATGTATTAAATCTGAAACTCAAGAGTGGACTAGGCATATGCATTTCTTCCCCCCACCCCAATTTTTTAGTTGTAGGTGGACACAGTACTTTTATTTTATTTATTTATTTATTTTTGTGTGGTGCTAAGAATTGAACTCACACATGATGGGCAAGTGCTCTACCACTGAGCCACAACCCCAGCCTCTAGGCATAGGCATTTCTACCAACTCTCCAAGTGTTGCTGTGGAGCCAGGGTTGAGAAGGTATAGCATGCACTTACATAAACTGCTATCAAAAAGAAAGAATTACATGAATTATAAGGCTGATACAATGATGTTATCCCAGGGATAAGTAACATTGGTGGTTTGGCTATTTTTTAACATGTGAACTGGTATTAAAGCTGTCTTGAGCCTCAGGTTTCATCTGTAAAATAGGCATAATAACATCTTCCTAGAACGTTTTAGGATTATTGTGCTTTGAAATTACATTGTTGGAATTAATAACCAAACAAGTAATTCTCATATTGTTTGTACAGGAACCTGTCAAAAATGCAAAGTTCTAGGTTTTACCCTAGACTTATTGAAATAAAAATACCTGCAAATATTTTGTACATCAGGGAAGTTGTATTTTTTTTTAATATTTTTTTAGTTGTAGATGGACACAATATATTTTAATGTGGTGCTGAGGATTGAACCCAGTGTTTCACGCATGCTAAGCAAGAACTCTACTACTGAGCCACAACCCCAGCCCAGGGAAGTTGTATTTTTAACAAGGCTTCCCAGGGGTGAGCAGGGGKGGGATGAGATTTGTATGCAGGTGGTGAAGGACCACATTTATAGAAGCTGTTGCTTCATAACCTGTTTTCTCCAGAGCTACCAGCAGGGAGTGTTGTGAATGAGAAAGTTTGCTCATCTTACTGATTCAAAAGGAAAGTACTAAAATTAGTTATTTTTTTTTAACTCTTCAGACAGTAGGCATGTAAATAAAAAAATAATAGAAGTAAATAATTATTTGCCAAGTGTATAGGTGGTGCTTAAAATCTTTCAGGAAACAGAATCATTAAATCAAAATAAACACAGTTCAAAAAATTTATTTTGGCTAAATATGGATGTATTTAAAACTTGAGATTGAAAAGTACATTTAACTTTGTATTAACTGAAAATTCATTAGCATTTTTGTGCTTATTAAAATGGCATAGTTTCATTTGATTTTGAGATACATGCTCAGTGAATATATGTCAGTTGTATTTCCTTTGATCTTAAAAATACTAGATCGTATGTAGTATTATATTGGGACTTAGTGAGAAAGCAAATTGTTAAGCAGGTCTTTCAGTTAAAAAAGTGAGTGAAAATATATTTGGTAAACTAAGAGCTTAGGATTTGTTTTAGTCAGTTTTTTTTTTTTTTTGGTGGGGGGCACTGTGACCAAAAGACCTGACAAGAACACTTTCAGAGGAGGAAGTTTGTTTGGCACTACAGTTTCAGAGATCTCAGTCAACCCATTGTTTTGGGCCCAAGATGAGTCAGAACATCATGGCGAAAGGGTGTGGAGGAGGAAAGCAGCTCAGGACATGGCAACCAGGAAACAAGAGAAAGCTCTGCTCACCAGGGACAAAATATAAACCCAAGAGGCACACCCCCAGTGACGTACCATTTCCAAACACAACCTACCTAYCTTCAGTTACCACCCTGTTAATCCCTATCAGGGGATTAATTCACTGTTTGGGTTATAATGCTCATCATCCTTGTGTTGTCTCACTCTTGAGTTTTGGTGGACACCTCATATCCATATCCTGGCAGGGTTCCAGTTCAGATTTATCCCTTTGTATCTGATTTTGGGCATGTAGTTCTTCCCTTTTTATATGAGAATCCTGATGCCTTCTGTAGGGGAATGTATGAGGTGTTGTATGTGAAAATACTTTTATATTTATAGCTATTAGTTTTATTTTTTTCTCTTAGAGCTTGTATGTTTAATTTGAAATGTTTAAATTATATTTCAGTTTAAATTAAATTATAAACATGATTGTGGTAAGATTGAAAAGCTGGGGATACAGCTCAGTTGGTAGAGTGCTTGCCTCACATGCATAAGGCCCTGGGTTCAATCCCCAACACCACAAAATAAATAAATAAATAAATAAAAGATTGAAAATACTGGTGGATCAGAGTTGTCTATATAGTTACTTATACAGTTGGGAACAGAACGCCTAATTTTATAAAGCTTAAAAAAGGGTGGGGATATTGCTGATTCCTATGCTTCCTAAAATTTTTTGGGTAGGAGAGGAAACTTAATTAGTTTAATTACAGTTGATTTAGAAATTACTTCCATTTCTTCTTTTCCTTTTACAGAGGATTAATGTACGTACTTTTGTTAATGGTTTTCTAATCTAAACACCAAAGAATATTGGGGGYAATGTAGACAGGTTTTTTTTTTCCTCTATGTAAATGAAAGTGTTTTAAGATTTATTTTTTTAGGTCTGTGCTGTCTACTACCAATTTATATTTTAGTAAACTTATGTCTGGATTGATCAAGTAACTCTTAAAACCATAGAAGCCTTTTGCTTAGTATATAAAGTTTCATTTAGAATGAAACAAAAAATTGGAGAATTGAATCACAGATTCTAAAAATAAGGAAGGTCTATTATTTGTGCCTTTATCCAAAACATTTAATGCCTACATGTGTTTTGTGATTAAATTAGCTTCATAAAATTAACAAAAGAGGTCTTTTAATCCATCTCTGAGGGGCATTACAAATATGTGCAGCTTTGCCTTGAAAGCTATTGCTCAAAGCAACAACGTAAGTATTTTAGGTATATTTTTTGTCCATGAAGTAAATGATGAGCTTCCTAGTTTAGAGGCTAAGGGAAGAAGGAAGTGTAAGGGTGGGAAATTGCAACCTGCCTAGGATTCTGTAATGTGTTTGTTTTGCCTTTATAAGATTGAAATTATTTTAAAAATCAGCAGTTTGAATAAAAAATAAATATACAATATGCCTAAGTTTGTTTGACAAAAATGCAGCTTTAAAAATTAAAYCAATGTCATGAACTCTTAGATTTCTAACTCAGGTAGCTTTAGATGAAGTGTTTGAAATAATCTTAGT